CCCCGGTGGGGCGGGGGCCGCGTGCCCGCCGTGGAGCGCGCCGCAGCTGGGCCCTGCGCTGCAAGAAGCGAGGGTGGGTGGGTGCCCAGGCGGGGGGGGGGGGGGCCCGGGGTGGCCGGGGGCCCCAGGGGGCGGGGGGGGGGGGGGGGCCAGGCACCTCTTGTTGCTGCCCACTGTCTGGGGCAACCTGCTGCTCTGCCCATAGGGTAATGCACTGGGTCCCCATCCTGCCCTGCCTGTGCTCCAGCGACCATAGCCTTCCTCAGAGCCAGGCACTTTGTCCAAGGAAGAATTGTAACAGGCAGAAGTTGCAAAAGTTTACTTTCTTTCCTGCTTTATCTTCCCTCACTGGGTTTTGCCTTTAAATGTCATGGCTGCATCCCAGCCCCTGACAGAGAGGATGAGCAAATAGCAGCCTTTGGAAGGGAGGACAGACTTACTCTGGGGGTAGTCAGAGGGGTGAGTGGATGTAACCTGCTGAAGCACCACTTCCCCAGAGCTACATCTCCCTAGGGCAATCTTTGTTATTTCAGGCACCCTGCTAAATACCAAAATGCATCACCACGCACCCCAGCTGGCAGTGAGAGATTTCTGTCCTTGCTGCCAATCTTCCCCAGCCCTTCCCTGGCCCATTTCAAACACACAAATCGCTATGACTTTGCAGAGCACTCACACGATGTCCCTGAGAGCAGCTGCTCCTCCCAGCCGCCCCATATTCAGCCCAGTGGGTGCAGGTACAGCAAGGACCTTCCTGGCTCCTTGCCCCTGCCACAGCCATGGGGGCTGCTCCCAGCAAGGAGGGCTCACTGGGGAGCTGCTCCTGCATTGCTCAGCCATGCTGCTCAAGCATTAAAGCTCGCTGTCAAAGTGAAATAATTTTGAACAGCAAATGAAGGAATCTCAGCATGGAAAGATCTGCCTCACCAATACCAGTTTCACTGGTTCAGCTGAGTCACTCCTGGTTGCTCTTGTGCAAACATGCCCAGAGCTGCACCCAGGCACGAGCACATTCCTGGGCAGCTGCCACGGTGGTCAGGTCGTGCCCCGTGGTCTCTTACCTCTGCCAGGAGCTTAGGGCTGTCACAGGAGACTCACAGGGAAGACGCAGGGCTGAGCCATCCCCTCCCCGCTGCTCCCACATGCTGCGTGTGCGGGGAGGAAAGGGAACTGTGTGCCTAGGGCGTCCTATAAAATCTCCAGAATATCACCTTTCCCTAAAATAACAGCTGGATCCTTAATGGGGGGACGAGGGGAGGGAAAGGGGTTGTCTCCCTTCATTAATGCCTTAATTAAGTGCATGTGAAGGAAAAACAGAGTGTTAGTCATCTGGCCTGCAATGGCAGCCAGGACTTTGCAGAGGCCCCAAACGGGAAGAGCAGCGCAGGCACTTGGGTATATTAGCAAGAGGAATCAAACTCTTCCTTTGAGCGAAGAAGTTGAGCTCCTTATCTGCAGTTAATTGCTGGGTGTTTAATTGCAATCAGGGGAGCTGCCCCAGTTGGCACTGGCAGAGGGTCTGGCCCGGTGCCTTTCTGGCAGGTCGGGCACACCGGCCCCTCGGCTGCTGGGGATGCAGGGGGCTGCAGCAGTGCAAAGGGCAGTCGTGGTCTCCACCTCTCTCTAGCACGGAGCAGCCCACAGCTCTGAGTTTTGGGGTACCCCAGGGAAAGCTGGCCCAGGACAGGGAGCGAGGTGCGTACAGCTCAGCAGAGGACAGATCTGGCTGGGAAAAGTGGATGATCTGGAGGCACCAGTGGTGTCCAGGTCACAGTTTGGAAACTACAGAGCTTTATCTCCTCCTTGCAGCAAGGTGGGCTCTGCTGGAGAGCTCTCTGTGTTGTAAACCTGGCCTGACACCCTCACGCTTACCTCATGTTGCTTATGGTTCCCATCAGAAGGTTTTCCAAGCACCTTGCCAGTTCACACCCCAGCCTTGCCCCTCAACAGTAATCTTTCCCCTTGGCTAAACCTGAATCCCTCTTTTCTCTGATGCTTGTGCATTTGCAGATGTAAAGGCAGATGTATCAGCAGCTCCCCAAGCAGGAACCTCGCTTCCCAGGAACAGCAGCCCCATCCAAGACCAGCCCTGCAGGTCCTGAGGGTAAAAGCCCTCGTGGTCCTCCCCTGAAGGGAGCTCCCACGAGCTTGCTTCCCACCAGTTTCCCCAGGGAATCCGCTTGCTGGGAATCCTGCAACTCAGGGATTGGAAAATATCAGCAAATCCCTCCTGTATCTGCTCTCAACACAGAAGCATAACGATAGAAAAATGTCCTGATCAGTCTCTCATTACCAGAATTTTCTAGCTGGCAGAAAAAAAAAAGGTTGTCAATGTGTGTCAGATGCTCCTGGCACCTTCGGGCCGTGGAATGCCAGGGGAAGAGCATGAGCCATTGCATCCTAGCAGCAAATCGGATTTTTGTACTGTGAAACCAAATTGTGTTCCAAATGACATTGGTATACATTCAGAAAATTTCCATGAAGGTAAAATCAGCTCCTGAGCTAGAGTAAGGAGTCTTAGAGCTTAGGTCTGTGGAAATCCCATGATGTTTTTGTACAACCCCTTTCCCCATGCCCAGTAAGCTGGTGAAGCTGTCCTTACTGGGCAGCCAGCACCCCGGCATGATGCACAGCACCCACAGAGCAGAGAGGCTGCAGGGACCACGGTGAGATCCCCCCTCCAGCAAATCCCACACCGTCACAGAGAGCAATGACAGCAGAATCGCAAACTCCGCACATGCGGGGAGGAAACTGCCCGACCCCTTCCTGTGACAGCCCAAGCTGAACCAGAAATAAAGATGGATGAAAAGAGGCTGGTTGGGAATGTGGCGGTTTTTCTCCTGGAAGAGTTTTGCTGTCATTATGGTGTTTGAACACTGATGCTTTAGATCATATGTTGGCAGCACCAGGGCTCGCTGCTGAGGCTTGCTTTGCTGCTCTTGTAGGAAGTGATGGCCCTTGTCTCACCATTGCTTGCGAGAGAAACAACAGGGGAGGGGACAGAGTCATCCCACACCCTGGGCAGAGCTGGCGCTTAGCTCCCAGCTCTCCAGGGCTCAGCCTCTTGCTGCCACCCTGAGCAATGGTTTGGCCTTTGGTACCAAAGACTTTTCTGGTACAATACCGCATGAGAGGGAGATGCTTGGTGGAAGGATGGGATGTGCACAAACTAGTGACCTTAGTTTTAAAACCCTCCTGGCTTTGCGCAGGGCCACTGTCCTGTGCAGGGCTTTGTTCAGGTGGGAGAAGCCCAAGCCCGGCCTGGGGGAATGAGGGGCCCTGCGGGAGATGGGGAAGGAGGGACGGAGGGCAGGCTGGGAAGGGCAGAACAGACACGAATCTCCCATGCACGCTCAGCCACAGCAAGGCTGGAAGACACAGACCTTAGGACTCTTTATTCTGACCATTGCCACTTCCTAGGACAGCTATCACCACCAAACCATGTGGTTAGGTGGTCAGGTAAACGTCAGTGCATGCAGTCACCTGAATTTAATGGAAATGGTTGGCTCTGGGGACAGAGGACACCAGCAGGTCTCCATTCATGGGCACCACCTGAGCACACAACCTCTTGTAGGCGTACAGCACTTCATTTCCCATTCCCTCATGGACTCCACGGAAATGCAGAGGTCTCCTGCTCACCACTGGCTCCTCTTACATGCTGCGTGCAAACCCAATGGGGAGGAAAGGAAAAACAAAAGAAATAAACCTGTCCCAAAATGGACCAGAAAAGGGAGTCTAAGGAGAGCTGTGCTCCAGGATGCCCTACACAGTGCACAGCGCCTTCTTTAAGGCCTCATCCCATGGATCATCAAGATGTCCATCACCCCCCTCCCAGGCGAGACAGCAGAAGCGACAGGTACTGAGCACGGTCCCGAGCTGGTTCTTAAATGGAAAGTTTGCTAAGTCATTGGCTGAGACATTGTCCCCGTCTGTCACAGGACAAGGCTCACTGTCACTGACAGCTATGTGACACAAACGTAATCCATTAAGAACAGTGCTATGCACAGATTTTCCCTGTCTTCCTTGTACTAAAAAAAAAGCCACGTACTTCATTTTGAAGGCGTGGAGCTGGCACCTGCAGGTATTTGCTGCGGCTCTCCGAGGCTCCCAGGTCAGAGCAGTGGGAAATTTCCCAAGGGAGCTCCAGGCTGTCCCTGGATTTTTTCTGAGCAGCTCCTTCACACCAAGCCAGTGGGCGGGCAGAAGATAAGCAAAAGATAAGATAAGCAAAGATATGCAAAGATAAGCAGATTTCTGGTGAGTGTCTTGCATGTTTTATTAGAGTCATATTTCCACTCGTTCATCTGGAAGAGTCCAGGATGAGCAATTACAGCCTTCTCCTCTGCCCCACAGCTTCTTCACACAGTTTTGTATGGAGAGCTTTTATTTCAGCGTTTTCCAGCCCCCTCCAGTCACCTGCCCGTGAACCAGCTGTGGTGTGTGTTGAGCGCGGTGGTCTCAATAAACTGGCAGAGACAGGGCACGCTGCTGTTCTCCAGGTGCCCCTCTGCCACGGCCCGAGGGAGCCGGCCAGTGACCAGGAGCCGGACGTAGCATCCACTGAAGATCACCAGGAGCTGCTGGGCCATCACCTGGAACGAGCAAGAGAGGTATCAGAGCAGAGCATCTACCTGCAGAAAGAGTGGATGATACACTAAATACCATTTGCTCCCTCATTCAAGGACTGTCCTCATCTGAAAGAAACAGGACAGGAGCCAATGGCATATATAACTGTCCCAGATCCCTGTCTGGTCAGCAGTGTTGGCACACTGTCCCCACAGGGGAGTGACATGAAATGACCACTCGCCAGTGGGTGGCCAGGGAGCCAGGCTGTTTTTGGGGACCTGCCTGCTCTGTCACTGCCTCCTGGTGCTTTTTTTTGCCTGTAGACAGCCAGAGAGCTTCAATCTGCAGGGATGTCACCTGCACCGAATTCGCTTAGTAACAGCAAACAGCAAACTGTAAAATAAATCAAAATCATCCCTTTTGAAGCTTCTTGCTGAGCGGGAATGAGGACACATTTGTTGCTTGGCACAGCACAAGTCTTTGAAGACACGCTCCACGGAGGAGACAAAGGCTGAGCATGGCCATGCCTCATCCCCAGCCCAGACACGGGCACTGGGTCCCTGCACGGACCCTGGGGAGAGGTTGGCTTCCAAACAGGGACCTCCAGCCACCAGCAAGGAAAAGCCTAATCCATTAATTCCTCAAGGATTAAGCATTATCTGCTCAGTAAGCATTAACTGCTCAATAAGCATTAACTGCTCAGCAGTGCCAGGGCTGGAGAAGGTGTGTGTGGACCCCCAGGCTTCCAGGTGCTCCTACTGGTGAAAAAGGAGGTGTCTCATGCTTGGCGGCTGCTGGGACGAGTTTTGGAGTCGAGGTGCCTGGGGAGGTGATTCGATGCCTCTGTCCTTCAAGGAGGGATATTTCTCATTACCTCTGGTGGGCCCTCAGGCACGAGGCGGAGCAGCTCGTTGCATGTCACAGGCTCTTTATTTAGGTTCACCCTGCTGGATAAAAGAGGGGACTCTTCACGCAAAGTCTTCTCCTCCATCCCCAGGTTGGGCTGAACCGTCACCTCCATAACCACACAGAGCTGGTCCAGGCTGTGCCGCAAACCAGACTGGAAGAGAAAGAGATTTTGGGGGTGTCCAAAGGCAGGCAGAAGTGCTGTCCTGAGGGCAGCCTTTAAAGGGCACGATTTCCTCCTGCACATTTTTTACTCTTGGGAGTTATCATCCCAAGAGAAAAAACAGCATTGTCCAAAAGCCGTGCCCAGCACTTGGAGTTGTGTCTTCATCCCACAGCCCCGCTGCCATCAGCTGCCTCTTGTGCCGGTGACTGCTCCCAGTGCGATGGTCACAGCCTGGCATGGAGAATCTTGTCTTTAAAAACTATATGAGTTATATCAGCCAGTATGTGAATTGGTGTGTTACTGTCTTTCCCCTGATCTGCATCGGTCAGTTCATCCAGGCAGATGAGCAGCCTTGAGATTTTCGGAGGGTTGTACCCCCTCACCTCTCATCCTGCGGCCATGGTCAGCAAGGGCAATTCAGTGCAGGAGAGCGCGGTGTTTGTATATTATACACCCGCATAGAGAAAATCATTTTCTGAAGGCCAAGAGGACAAAATTTTTATACCATTAACCCACTACAGTGTTTACTTATTCCTCAGGCTATCCCATTTATTTCAGGAGGACAGCTCAAGGTGTCAGCTATTTCAAGTTGTGACACATGCTTTCAAAATTTGCCCTTGATTCTTGATGACTTTCCTTTATTAAAGTTGCATGGTTAATTATCCAGACATGCACGTACCACAGGGCCTAAACAAA